CTGAAAAATACTCATTCTACCAATATGACGTTTTTTTCTCCAGGAGTTTTACCTGTCTTTTTTATGTTGTGAAAAGTATATTTCTTTTTTGATACAGAATTGTAAATGTAGGGACTTGCTTTCCTGTACAGCTGTCCTTGTATCTTCAGTTTTGTCTGAGATTGGATTAATTCTGCAGTATTCTCAATTCTTTTATAACCAGAAAGAACCACCTGGTAGGTTACCCTGATCAACTGTTTTGCACAGATACAAGTTTACTGAAAAGTAGCAGAGAGACAACAGGCATGGCCAAACTCTATGTTAAAAAGTTACTTTATGAATATCAACAGAATAATGAAGAACACTGAATCAGGATAGCAAATGACTTTCAGCAATATGTTACATACTTCTAACAGAAATGCTTTACATATTTTTGATTTCCATTCTGAAACATTATTCAGACAATGGTCATTTTATTTCCAGTATAGTATTCCATTCCTGCTGAGTTTCATTTACTTAGAATAAAAGTTGTCAGTTATATGCCAAAAGACACATTTTACATAATTATATTTAAATGTAGGGCCACTAATCTGAATATCCCCTGTATGCAATATTTTTCACAGTATGAAAGTGGAAAATAAAGTGAAGATTTTCTGAGATATCTGTATTTATCTTATTTTTCTTATGTGCCACAAGAGGTATGCATAAAGAACCAGTATGTTTTTAGTTGATTTATGGGTAACAAAGTATGAAGCAGCATTTTGGTGTTAGCCATTAGGACATGGATTGCAACTCCTGATGATTAAATTTAATTAATTTTTTTATGAAGTTTGCTCCACTGAAATTTTAATCTTTTTGAAGTGAAAATGAATTCCAGTGAAAGATATACCAGACATACTGAAATCTGATTTTCTAATAAGGCAAGAAATAGGTAATGGTACTATAAACTACTCCAGTTCTTCTATGTCTCCAACGATGGAACTTCCACCACCTCACTGGGCAGCCTGTTCCAGTGCCTCACCAGCCTTAAGTTGTAAAAAAACAACTTCCTTATGTCCAGTCTAAATTTGCCCTCTTTTAGTTTTAAACCATTTTCCCTTGTCCTGTCACAACAGAATCTACTGAACAATCCTGTCCCCTTTCTTCACAAAGCTCCCCTTTAGATACTGAAAAGTCCCCATCAGGTCTCCCCAGAGCATTCTCTTCTCCAGGCTGAACAGCCCCAGCTCTCTCAGTCTGTCCTGGTAGGGAGGGTGTCCCACCCCTTGGATCACACTCCAACAGTTTCATATCATCTCACTGAGGATGCCACATCCAGATAGAGTACTCCAGGTGAGGCCTCACCAGGAGAGTTTTGACTGGGCTGTAAGTACTTTTGAGCCTATGTTAATATCTACATGATTTTTTCCACACCTTGTCAAGGACTTAATCTGTAGGTGTTCCTGTAAGCATGCCAGCTGGATTAAATTCTACCCAGAACATTCCCAGCTCGGTCTTTTCTTTTTCCTCCCGTGAACCTTGTTCAGTAACTATGTTATGTACAGATATTTTTATGATCAGGAAGCCTACCTGCACAAAATATTTTCTTCATAAAGCAAGTAGATTTACAACTACATAATATTTCATCATGCCTATTCACCATTCTCTGCCTTAAGCTAAAGGTAACACTTACAGCACCTTTCCTCTTTCATTGCTACTGTGGGAGGATCTACTATGAGCTTCCATAATTACCTGCCATCAGGTACCAAAAGGAACATTGTTCCAAAAAGAGACTTTCTAGTACACATAATTTCTGAAGAATGACAGAAATGTCTCTTGGCTCTGAATACAGCAAGACACAGCTGCTACATGCAAGTCAATACCTGTGATGTTGAATCCATACTAAGTGGAGACAGAAAGACAAAAAAGTCGTGTAAACTCTTGTATGAAATACAGTGTTTCTAGAGAAGCTGGTTCATAAATATGTATCAGCCAGCTTGGCTGAACTGGAAAGATGTGATTCCTGGGCAGCCTTTGAGAATACCTGCCTAGGATACTTAAACTTTTATTGTCCTCTTTAGTTAGCAACACTTAAGAGATCATGTTCAGGAAAAACAAAACAAACAAACAATAAAACCAAAACGATTAAAATAAATAAATAGATAATTGCAAACTTCTCAGAGTTGTGAACAGGACCTCTAAAAAGCTACCTTAAAGAAGTTCCACTCCTACCTTCAAGACTTGTTACCATTTTCATGCTTCACTGCAATACAACTATAAAATATAAAGGCTTTTAAAAATAACTTATTTCATTTTTTCGTACAAAGCAGATCCTTAAAAAACAAAACAAAACAAAACCACCTAAAATTACAGTTTTCAAAGACTGTTGAAATGGCAGCCTGCAGAACTGATAAGCAAACTTCTCTATTCATCTGACCTCTTGAATTACTCAGATGATGATTCAACTAATGATCAAGCAGTTCAGACTCAAAATGGAAATTAAGATTTCTTCCCCCACCCCATTATTTTAAATTCTACAAGGTAAAAGGTGGAGGAGCGGGGAGCATTCATGCCCCCAGAAACAGCTGGTGACAAGTTATGATATTTGAAGCTTCCGCCAATTCTTTGCTGCTCTGAGGAATCAGATAATATATTTTTAGATTTACAGATTCCAGATCTTAACTTCAGTAAGTCTGTTATGTTCAGCTTGTATGACTTTGAAGACTTTTCAAACAGAAAAAGCTGACTGTTAGCAAACTTGTGTCTCTTAGAGTGGGGAGACAGTGGGAAGGACAGATCAAAAATGAAATGGACTTGAAGTTATCAGTCTTAATCAGAGCCTATTGACTTTTATTAAGTTTTTCTTATATCACTGGTGCATAAAAGAAAGTTTTTATACATGCAGTTTAGTGTTTTCTGAGATTTTGTGCATGTATACATGCATGCAATGTATCTGCACCAGCATAAAAGAGATGAGTAGTCACACGTGTGGATGGTAATGGATTGTCTAAACATGAGGTGTCCAGTGCCATTCTAACTATGCTCTCTCCTCTCCAGCTACTGCTCTGAAAGGTGACGTGTTTCCTCTAGGTCCTCTGCCATCAGTCCTATGTGAGTTTCTGATGCATTGGATGGCACTCAATATTATGATTAGGCTACCAAGTATCACCCAAAACTCATGCATGTGGGTTTAACTCCAGTTCTAAATTTCCAAAAGCATTGGTCAGAATGATAACTCACTGTAAGAGAACTGTTGAGTTACAGCCTGAACCACTGACTGAGCAGCTGGGGAAAGGACGGAGCTTCTTGAAGACCTGTGCTTCACCTAGGAGCACAGGTGAAGACAATTCATCTGTGTTTCTGGAAGGGGTGGAGCCTGCACCCTCTTAGGCTTCATTTAAGGGCTGACTGCCACTGGGGAAGGATCTCTTCCTGGAGATCCCTTCTTGGTGGAGCTTTCTCCTGTGAACCTGCAATCTTCTCATACAGGTAAGCAATCTTCCCTTACAGCACCTTCCTATCATGCTGATCCTCCCATCATGTGGATCTGTCCAACTGCTACACTCATGCACGCAATTTTCACCCGAAATCAAGTTGCGTATTAGGAAATGCAACTCTTAGAGTAACTTCTGTGAATTACACCAAAGGAAGAAAAGACAGAGGGCATTCAGAGCTTCTTTCTGACAAATGTCAACAGAGCAGGGAAACAGACAACATGCCATTATATGCTTACATAAATGCAAGTTTTGATAAAAACTTACATAGATTGATTCAGTGCACAAATGCCAGTGAATGAAGGCACTATGACAAATCTTGGGTGCAAGTGTGAGAGTAAAGTAAAATGGTGTGCCAGATGCAACGTGCCATTTAAACATAGCTAAGCAAGAGAAGAATTGCTTGTCTGTTTTAGGCAGTATCAGGGAAGGTCAGCCAACAATTAACTAGTTGCTGACACATATTTACCACCAGTCTCACATAGGTATCTTGCAAAAAAGTAAATCCAAGCCATTTTAGAGAGGAAAACTCAATTTTGTATGCAAGGTATTACCCTATTCCTCTACTACTATTTTTGAAATAGAAATTTTAATATCTCATTACCTTGGTGTAAAGGAAGGCTGATGGCATAAGGCTGCTAGCTACTTCAGGAGGACAAATTTCTATGGCAGCTCTAAGCCACAATGTCTCCACAGTATCAGAAAGAAAAGCATGTTGTCTGTCACATGATTTCTGAAATAAACCTTTGAAACTGTCTGCTTACAAACAGGCCTGATAGATACTGTGCAGCTGAGAGTTTTTGAGTTTGGTAACTGGAGGAAAGAAGATACCTACTGAGGATCTTTAGAGCAAATTGATACCAGTATCATCATTTTATAGCAAATGCAGTTTTTCACTGTTATATAACCATTTCTCCATGACAAACAAAATACAAAGAAAATAACACACTCATCTGAATTCATCTATAGACAAAATCTGAAGTGCCAGCACTTTTTTACTGTGCGAATACAAAGATAATCCTTGCCTCCCTTTGAAATTGGAAGTCAAGACTATAGTACAGTTCTTTGGCCACACCATTTCCACAAGTCAATTCAAATCTATTTTAAATGCATTCCGCTAAGTGCTTGTACAGAACGAAGACACTGGGAGAGAGCATCGTTTCTTCTCTGCTTATAAGAAAGAAAAGATACCAGACTGAAGGTAGACAAACCCGGAGGAATCTTTATCACTTCACATTTCTCTTGCTCCTTGTTTAGGTCATTCATATCAAAATTCTTGCAGCTCTACTTTGTGATTAAAATCTGCATGCAGCACATGCTCACAAAACTACAACAAAGAATCTTAAAAAGGGAGGTTTTACATGCATTTTACATGCTTATACTGTAAGCAAAGGTGCTCCCAATGGTATTTTAAATGTTTGGCACTACCCTGTAGAAACAAATTACAAGTAAATCTAATATATCTGTTTAGATTCAGAGCAATTTTGAGTAGCTTGTATATCTGGAAAACAATTTTTTTTAAATTATAGTAAAGATGCAGACACTAACCTGCCAGGGCCGATCCCAATCAAGAGGAATAGGAAATGCTCCAAACCAACCTCCTAGTATACTGCACGTTGTAGTAATCTGTAGGCTGTTTTCCCAGATGGACATAGCTCTGTAAAAACAGTGTGTTACAGGATTTCAGCAGGAGCAAATGTTACCAGTTTAAAATGACATGAAACTAAACACTGCAAAGTAAATACAGACTGCATGTTACACCTCTTAAGCCACAATGCATTTAAATTCAACTGCACAGGAGTCAAGAAGAATTTCTTGCATGCTGGCAAATTCTTTTTGCACAGCCCATCAAAGCATACAGTGTATGACAACGGATCTTAGTGACTTTGGTTCTCAGTTTATAGCCTCCTACCTTTTGAAGCAGTGACTTCAAAAGTTTTGTAAAATTTGGGTTCCTGCTTATTAGGTAAGTGCTTACTGTCCATCAGTAGTTTACTGAGTGATTATTTTGCTTTCCTCAAGCCATGGATTTGAGTTCTTTGTGCATTTCATAACACTGCAGGGCATCATACAGAGGGTTGTGACTCCAAATCAGTAAGGTACAAGACCTGAACCTTAAATTTGCTTCATCTCAGATTATAAACACAAATTTAGCTTTAGCTAGAAGGAAAAAGGATGGGCATTTTTACAGCTAAAAGTCTGGATGAACTGCAAACCCCAAGCTTCGCAAGTGATGTTTAGATTGTATGACGTGAAAGCTTGAAACCTTTAACCCTTGTTTTGAAGAGTCTGAAGTACTCAGAATCTAAAACATGTAACTCACTGCTGCATTCAATTTTGAGGGAACCATGTGTAGGAAGTGTAGAACAAACAGTTCCTACTGCTTGCATAATAGAAGTCCTACTGATTGTAATATTTATAATGTAATGCTGACATTTTGGGCATAAAACAACACTATTTATTCTATGCTAATCCCATTGCTGTAACTTAGAACACCAGATTTGAGCACACAATTCTATCCTCTTGTAATGTGAAAACAAAACAAAAAACTAGTCTGTACACCAAAAGTTGTAAATTATTTCCAGAAGCTGAGTAACTGAGCTGTGAGCCAGTGTGGAGAGGAAACCATTTGCTACAGCCCTAAAGCAGTGAAAGAGGCAGCAGAATATACTAAGGACTGACTGAGGTACGTTTGTATCACACAAGGCATCCTATCTGGTAAACGTAAGCACATACTGCTGTGCCATATGGGGATGCTAGATTGAGTCCAAAAGCAAAATAACAGAATGAGCAAGGCACAGTGCCCAAGTAAAGAGCAGTTCTCGGTAGTTTGGCAACAATTTGAACTTCTAATTCATCCACACAGACAAAGCATGGACATAAACCTCTCAAACCTGGCATGACTTGTTCTCCAACAGCATACTGCAGTACCAATGCATTGATCGTTCACTGCTCTGCATGGAGTGTCAGCTATCAGGATTTTTGTAGGTGGTCATTAACACACCACACAAGTCCTTCATTAGTATGAGCAGCAACATATACAAGCTTTATATACACCTGTATGTATTCATATGAAAACTGTCTTATTTCTTTATTTTTAAACTGAGAAAACTATAACTGAAATATTCTACAGGCAAAACTAGTGATATTGAAGATGGCAAATGATGATTAGTGGCATAATAACATTTTAAAACTTCAGATCATTTCAAACCTTATAATACAAGTCGAGAACTGTTTTAAATAATATTTGAATTAAGAGGTTAGTTAACATAAAATAATGTATTGAGATAGATCCTAGATAGACAAGATGAAGAACTCTGCACCAGAGCAGGACTGAAATGCAAAGCAGCACACACCTTTGCTGCCCCACCTTCACAAAGGACATTTCCAAACCTGTGAGTATGCAGTATGCTGACATGATTAAATGGGAGAAATGAAAACTGGACAAAGCACTTCTATACTTCACCTGCTTTATTTAATTGCTCAGAAGTCTACTTGGAAAATTTCCACACACTTCATATTTTTAAGCTATCTGAGCTACAATTGTGTTGCATGTAACTGTTTTCTGCATTCCAACGTGTCCCTGACCCACCAATATCTCCCAACCCTTATGTAACAAACAAACCACAGATCACACAGTACCATGCAATGCCACACAGAATCTGACCCTTACAGGCAAGCAGACTTAAAGACTGATCTTTTTTGAATTCTAACTGAAAGTGATTTTACTCAAGGTGACTGCTTTGCTAGAAGTGCTGCAATTGCAGATGGAGAAAGCTAAGTACCTCTGCAGAAAAAAATAAGCACTTGGCAAGATTACCTCCAAGATATTTATGCTGAATGACTCAACTGTACCATAGCTATTACAATGCAATAGATTACATAGCATGAGTTACTTGGATGTAATCTTATGAATAGGCCTCCAAGAAAATATTAGGTCTAACAGTGTTTTCACACTGGATGACCACCACCTTAGCATAGCATAAAGATTTTACAGCTATCTAGAACAACTGTTGGCTAATTAATATTCAAATCTATTACTTGTTTACATTTGATTTATTAAGATAAACTTTCTTTTTATAGATGCCCCCTCCTACATTTCTGCAAAGACAAAGGCACAGCTGATCTCAATCTTACAAATACTGCAAACAAGAGCAACAAACATAAATGTCAATGATTACTTCAGTCTAAGTTGTACACATACTTTTTAAACAATTCCTCTTTCATTCTACGCTACACTCCTACTCAGACTTTCCAGCTTGTTGTGCCACTGCAATTCAATTCTCTAAACATTTCCTTCAAGGCACACAGCCATGCTGATCTTACCTAAATGCCCTTTTCAACCAGTCCCACCTCATTCCATGTGGTTAAGCCAGGATATAACCTTTGAATAAATCATTCCTACACTCAGTTAACATCTAAGTTACTTGCAACTCATTCATGAAGTTAAATGAAAAAACACAGACTTGTTTTCAAAAGGGCACCTTACTGTGACCCATAAAAAACTTGCTACAATATTTCTCCATAATCTATTTCCATTGAAAGGGTTGCATAACCAAACATCATTACTAAATGCACATCTAATCAGATAAAGTCATATGGCTCCCTACTAACAAGTATGTACAAAAACATCATAGCAAGACAATCCTGTTTCCTATGCAATAATTATGCTGAAATAACAGGAAGAACTGGGCTAGGAAAGAGAAAGACATGCATTTAAAATCTAACCTGGCATAAAGGCTAGCAGTTATCAAATGTTTCTTACTTGATTTCACCTATTCTCTCCAGTTGCAAAACTTCCACAGACTAACAAGTGAATCAGCAATGATTTGTTTTGGCTAAATAACACTATGATTTCATTAAATGCTTGTGAGGTATCATTTTTATTACCCTATTCACTCGTTCCACTGAAAATAAAAAGCAAGCATAACCAACGTGCACAAGGATTTAGATATTTCTCCGTAAGCTGAGAACTCATACAAACAAAAGCCAATATACAAACTACTATAAACAGTTTTCAATTTCTTATTTCAGATCATCTCTATGCAGAGTAACTAAATGTAACTCCCTTCAGTCAGCAGGAGGATAGAACTTTTTGTTTTCTTCTGAGATGAGAAGTTACCCTTATGAGCTGTTATAAGGGAATGAACGCTAACATCTTACTAAACTTCAAGTGTATGTGGAGCTTCTTTATGTTTCAGAGTCCAGTCTTTCAACAGTCCTGTTATTTAGCATGTGAAGAAAGGCAAAAGAGATAGAATACTTCTGGAGAACATATTACCCATGCTAATGTAATGGCTTTTACTAGGAAAAAAAAATTACATTCATTTAAATGTGCTCTTGGAAAAAAAAAAAAAAAAAAGAAACCTGACACTGAGGAAAGCTTTCTTTAAATTTGAAAAAGAACAAGGGCAAAGATTACATAATTAAGATGACAGGAGATCATATATTATTTTCACAATTACATCCAAGTTAAAGATACTGTTAAAATAATACTGATTTTAGCTGCTACTCCTACTCTAACAATTGTTTTTATAGAGCTAACATTGGATCAAGCATGAGATTTTTCCGCTACAGCTCACTCACAAGTCTCCTCTTTATTATAATCATTATACTGGACTGCAGGATGCTTTCAGACCAGTAAAATACTCATTTGAAACTTTTACCTCCTCTAAGCACATACAAAGTAAGGCTTGGTCTCTGGATACCAGAAGTAAAAGGCCAGTTTTCTGAACCCGTGTCTTCAAAATAAATAACACTATTTTTGTCAGAAAAGCTCTCAAAGGCTTGTAATTACAAAAGTGACACAACAATTCAGAGAGTTTCCTTCCCCAAAGTAAAATAATAAAAATAACTCTATGATATTCACATCAATTCAGTCAATTTTTATCCTGGTTGAAAATTAGAATAGAACAGAACTTACCCATTTCTACTAAATACTCGTATCCAAGCTTGTACATTTGGTCCCAGCAAACATAAACATTGTAAAGTAGTAAAGGTAGACAAGAGAACTGCAAACAAAAATGTCTCAGTCACTGACCTACAAAGAAGCAATATAACAAGATCATGTTATAAATACTAATTTTCTAAGAGTTTCAAGATTTAGGAAAAAAAAATTCTCAATCAACTTGTGAAAGCACACGTGCTTTCTTAAGCCTCCCGTATAAGCATAAAGCTTTTTCTTATTACTCTAGAACAGTTCAGAAAGGTAGAAGAAAATCGCTGTCATCTGTTGCCTCAGCAAAGACTGAAATGTAGTTTATTAGCCCCTGATATCTGTATCATTTTAAATACAGTTTTATCTCATACAGAACGTCAGTTTTGAATGCTTGGATATTTACTTCGTTATTCAGCTCATTTTTCTAGTTTGACATTGTGGAAGCAGCCATCAAACCAAACACCATTGTTAGTCTGTAACTTGTCAACTCTCTCAGAAATCAGATTGCTTTCTGGTTCTCCTATTTTCCTTATTTAATTATGCCTAAAAATTTACTTATATAAAAGGATGAAAGATATGCAAGATGTGTATTTTATAATCTTAGGAGAAAAATAATTAAACAAAACTTAGCAAGTGTTTGTACCCAATCAAACTTGAAACATGGAAAATAGTTGTACCCCTACACAGAACAAATATTAAAGTAAAACAAGTTGTTTTCAACTGTCTCGTAGAACAGATCTTCAAACACATAAAAGTTTAAGAGCCAACTTCTATAAAGACAGCCACCCTGCTTCCTCCAGCCAGGAGCTTATTTTTTTAACTTGTAATGTACCAAATAATATGTAAGGATTTATACCAATATGTGCTAGGAGAACTCCCCCTTAAAGCGTTTAGAGAAAAATAGGGTCTTCTGACTTACTCTATGAGAGGTGCTCCATAAAGAACAATAATCGCATGAAATAGTATGCAAGACATGAAAAAGTATATACAGCATTTTAGAAATCTGGATATCTAAAAAAGAGCAATAAAATATCAGAATAAAGTTTCAAAAGTAAAGAGAATATAAATAACATACTTAGCTTATAGTATCTAATCAACAGCATCACACACTACTCTTTCTTTTGATATTCAATTTTAGCTACCTACAGCACAGTATGTATTCAAACAGGTATCCTTTAAACAATTAATTAAAAAAGACCACACTCACTGCATCCAACGTTTCTTCATCCATCTTATTATAATAAAACAATCATAAAGTAAATAACTGGAAATGACAGTATAACCAGAGATGGTTTCACATTCTGTGAAAGCTGCCTTTTAATGAAAGTTTAAAACATTTCAAAGTAAGAAAGTACACAGTATGAAAAAAAGACGTTCAGAATCAAAAGAGGTATTTAAAACCATAAGGAATTAAAGCCACTCTGTTTTGCAACTTGGCATCGTATATACTAAATCCTTTTGAAAAGTGTCTGTGGCTACCTGTAGATCTACGTGTAACTGTCTAGGAAATTAAAGGACAGCTTCTGGGTACTCACTATATCATACAGAAGGACGGACACTGGATAAACACATGTGGCTAGGCCTGTTCTGATCAGGTCACAAATGGAAATCCATATCTCACTTGTCCGCTTCTTTGATATTTATTATTTATACTAGGCTGGGATGAAACCTCACCTAGAACACATAAGCCTACTTCATTTTCAAATAGAAGATGGTTAAAAAACTTGTTTTCCATGATGATTTCATGTATTTGACATCCCCTCTGTCAGCAGTTAACAGTTCTACATTCAAAGATACCACTTTCTTGGATGACTGCTTAACTGACTTCACATTGTATTCTACCACTCCTGATCCAGCTGTGTTTTATGCCAAATGTGCTCTCTTCTAACCTGTTATATTGGGATCCATGCCTTAATGGTCCTGTCCCAAACTGTAACTACAAAAAAATCTCCCAGATTCTTCTGTGTGCACATTTAGTCATTCAAGGAAATGCAATCATTTTGACACCTTTCAACTTCACTTTTTGAAACTTTACCAACTTTCAGAGAATCACAGAATAGCTTAGGTTGGAAGGGGCCTCAAAGCCCACCCTGTCCCAAACCCCTGCCACAGGCAGGGCTGCTCCCCACTGGCTCAGGCTGTCTACGGCCCCATGCAACCTGGCCTTGACACCTCCAGGGACGGGGCATCACAGCTTCTCTGGGCAGCTGTCACTGCCTCATCAACTTTAAGTAGTAATGAGCTGCTCCCTCTTTTCCATTTCAAATCCTACATGTGAGAAACTACGCAAGACTGAAGCATCTCTTAGCAATACTGAAGGTCAGGCCTAGAATGCGAAGTGACTTTTGTGCCCATTCTGGTGCTCCCCGAATCCTGCCAGCAGGAAAACTGCTGGTGGCCAGTGTTGTCTCCTGGCTACAAACCACAGCCCGTGGGCAACAAGTGGCAGGGATGGCTCATCCCAGCGGGCTGCTGGCAGGTCCAGACAGAATTAAACTGTGCAACAGCTTCAGCACGTGCTCACTCATGGAAAACAAGAATTCACCACCAAAAGTTGTAAATTCTTTCCCACCCCATCATTTCGGTGACAGACTTTGCATCCTCTCCACATCACTCGGTAGGAATCTAAGGAAAACAAAACCCACCAAATCTTACCTTGTTAGACAGCGAGCTTCTCTTAGAAGACGGATTTGGCTTTAGGATTAAACACAAGGTTACGTTAAGGACGCTAACACAAACAGAACAAACACACAGCCACGTGAGGTGCGTGCCCAAAACCGAGAACCCGTCCAGAAACAAGGCAGGCACGAGTGCCGTCAGGACGATGGAGACGGCGCAGAGCAGGTTGGCGGCCAGCAGCCTCCTCAGCTCTGCCTCCCTCATCGCGCCGCGCCGCCGCCCACCTGCAGCGGGGCGAGCGGCGCCAGCAAGGCGCTCAGAGCGCTCAGGGGGCCACAAGGGCTTTTTTTCGTGGCAGAATAACGACCCCCGAGCTCTCACAACCCGGCCCTTACACGGGACGCCGGCCGCCCGGCAACAGGATGGCGTCAGCTCCGGGGCGGGCCCGGAAGAGGCGGTTGTTATGTTGAGCCGCCATGGTGTGCGAGAAGTGTGAGTGTGGTGGGATCGGAGGGGTTCCCGGCGTCGGGCGGGGGCTGAGGGCGGCGGGCAGCGCAATTCTAATGGTTGCTATCCTTTCCGCAGGTGAGAGGAAGCTGGGCACGGTGATCACTCCTGATACGTGGAAGGATGGGGCGAGAAACACCACAGGTAGCGTCGGCCGCACGGTGTTCACCGCGGGTCTAACCGAGGTGCGCGGGCTGTCGCAGCCCCGGCCTCCGCGGTAGTTACTGGGTTGGCTCTTCGCTGCTCTAGTTTCCTTTGAGCGCAATGAAGGTTTGTTTGCCTTGAGCTTTCTGGAGTTGAACTTGTCCATCTCACTGCAGCCTTCCAGTGTTTAAAAGGGAATCATAAACGGGGGGAGGGAGGAGGACTCAACTTTTTACTTGAGTAGATGGTGATAGGACAAGGGGGAATGGTTTTAAGCTCAAGGAGGGAAGATTTAGATTGGATGTCAGGGGGAAGTTCTTCACAGAACTTACTACTACTTACAGTAGTAAGGTGCTGGAACAGGCTGCCCAGAGAGGCTGTGAATGCCCCTTCCCAACACCAGGTTGGATGGGGCCCTGGGCAGCCTGGTTTAGTACCAGATCTAGAGGTTGGTGGCCCAGCCTGAGGCAGGGAGTTGGAACTTGACGGTCCTTGGGGCCACTTCCAACCTAAGCCATTCTATGATTCTGTGTTTCTGTGACGATCTTTTCCCTCGTATTGAAGAATGATACACAGTGCCTACCCATTCTTTGTGCTGTGCGCTTCTCGTTACTCTGAGCACACGTGCACACGTGCGGCAGCTGGAAGTTGAGCTCTTTCCAGTGTGCTTCAAACTGTAGAAATGTATTTATTATTTAATGTATGTATTGCCTTGTGCTTGTATTCTTTTTATAGAAAGCGGTGGCCGAAAGCTGAACGAAAACAAGGCATTGACCTCAAAGAAAGCAAGGTTAGTATTTGACCCTGATTTCACCTTTTTTTTTTTAAAAAAAGGCAATTTTCTGTAAGTGAGATCTCACTTCTCCCAAAGCAGGGTAACTCCTCAAAACTTGTCCAAAATACACCTTAATCTTTTTTTTTTTTTTTTCTGGAGAGAGTTACAACATGTTATTCCTTGGTGAAAGTGTGTCTGTATGTATTTCATGGAGGCTTTCTGTGAAATTACAGAGCCTGGGTAGCTGTATTGCTGCAGTCATCCCTAAAATTGGTAGGAATTGGTGTTTGTGTTAGGAGAGGAGCTTTTCAGGCCACCTGTCCCTGTTTGCAGGAGAGTTAGAGTATGTGACATTTAAAGGTCCCTTCCAACTCAAATGATTCTGTGATCTTCCATGCTAAGATTGCCTGTTCAATCTCTTGAGCATCTCTTTTATGTCTAAAGCATATTCTGTTATCCTATGCCAGGAGCAAGCCACTGCTGGAATGTATTTTGAGTTCAAAATAGGCTTGTATCTTAATAAAAAATATATGGTTTTGGTTTAGCTTTTATTAATTTTATCTCTGTAATGCAAGAAATCTCTCATAATGGAGAAAGCAGGAGTTTTTCTATAGGAATTCTGTAGACTGTTAGAGTAGACCTCTTCATGTCCCTTTTCTTGGTTACAGTTTTTGCTGGAGTTTCTGTCTGTGTCCTCTCACATAACGTTTTTAGTATGAGGTGAAGGAAGTACTTTATTTTAGTGTGCATAAATAAAGTACTTCTCCTTTTTTCCAGGTTTGATCCTTATGGAAAGAACAAATTTGCAATATGTCGAATTTGTAAGAGTTCTGTCCATCAGCCTGGATCTCACTACTGTCAAGGATGTGCCTATAAAAAAGGTGAGTTTCACTGAGTACCATATTACCCCACTTTGATTTGAAGTTAGAGACAAGTAGAACTCTTGAGTTTGTTCTGTATTGCAAAGAGAATGCTGTGATGAGTTCAGTCTTCAACTGCTAATATGAAGGTGTAGAAAAGATGGAGTCAGAGAGTCATGACTCTCTGATTCCATCACAGTGCACAGTGATGGAGAAGAGTGTAGAAGTCCTAAATTCCATATAAATAAATCAATTTTCACTATAAGGGTGGTCAAACATTGTAATAAGTGACTCAGAACCCTTATGAAATCTCTACTGGAGAATATAAAACTTTATCAGTCTTGTGAGTTTGAGAGGGTAAGCAAAAGGGCTCAAACTTGTAATCCATTTGGGGGGGGGAAAATAGAGCAACATGAACTGAGTTACTTTATTAATATTGAAGAATTCACTTAGCACACAGACGTGGGGTGGACAAATTGTTAGATGTAGAGTCAAAGCTAACCAGTAATATGAGTTTTGTTTATGAAATAATGTTAGTTGTTCTACAACTGTGCACTGTGTCACTGAGAGGTTTAGCAGTCTGCTAAAGGAGGGCTGCCTTTTCTAGTTGCTATATGCTCACCAGATGGCTGTCTGAATTCCATATGATAGAACCTTGTTATTTCTTAAATTTATTGTCATTTTGGGTGGGCATCAGGATTTTATCTTTGTCTGCTTGTGCATCCTTCCAGGTAGAAACCTCAAAAACAGCAGAAGTTAAACTTCAAATACATTAGATTCTGAACATCAAAGATGCTCAGATTGCAGCATATTTCTAGAAGCAGCTGCAGTCTTGATGCTTCAACTGTTGCATGTCTCTGAAATCTAGATACCATCTAAAAAGCTTGTTGCTCCTCACTTTAGATGTGAAGTGAATGCTGTATGGGATGGATTTTGAACTCTGAAGTAAATAACAAAGCATGTTCCCCACTGTTCTCTTTTCTAGTGGACTCTTAGATGTGTGTCCACTCAAATGAAGCCTATATGTAAAGTCATGATTTGTAGAGATGCAACAGAAATAGCTGTCAGTTAATTTTATTTATTTATTCATTTATTTTGGTCTGCTGATCTCTCAAAGCAAGATGCGTCCTACTGGGCAGAATATTTGGCACCTTTCTGTTTTAGAAAAAGGGGGAAACACTGAGGAAACTGTCCCTTCTTTCCCTGCCGAACTTGTGTACTTTTTGCTGCTCCAGTCTTCTAACCTCTCTTTGTGTTTAGGTCAAAGTCCTCTGGGTCATTAGTTGTCTCTACTTCAACTCTCAGCTATTCTTGGTGTCCATTATAATTCTCTCTTGCACTCTGTAATTAGCTTAATTCTTTGAAAGTGTATTCTTATCAGCTTTCTCAATTGTCAGTTAATCTTTCATTTAGCAACCAGTTTCTTGGTGCCTGTATTTCCTTAGCCTAGCTACTTTCTTTACAAAGTTTGGTAACATGCTATTTTTACCCATGGGATCCTTTCCTGGCTGTCCTTCAGTAGTTCAGCAAATTAGAGGCTTCAGGTGCTGTTGTGAATCATAATGCTCCCAGAGTTTATTTTTTAAGCAGAAGTATTACATGTATACTGCAAATATTAATTAGTGTTAAAAATCGTATTTACTACTTCTGAACGTGCAGTATCTGGTGAGAAGGTGCATGGGTAGATTGTCAATTTGAAATCTTCAACAGTTTCTTGAAGATTATCCTTACAAAAACATACTAGCTAGAAAAGATAATGGCTGTTTAATAATTTACACACCTTTGTGTGTTTGTAGGCATCTGCTCAATGTGTGGCAAGAAGGTGTTGGATACGAAGAACTACAAGCAAACTTCTGTCTGATTACATTGATCAGTTTTTCATGAACTTCTGACTTCTGCATCTTTGTACATTTACCTTTGTCCAATATTGTTGATGAATATTACTTCCTGGAAGATAATACACTTACTTGGGATGAGTTTAGGGGAGAAGACAGCCTGGTTGTTTCTGTAGAAATGAACACAGTATTTGATTGTTGTTGTTGTGGCACTAACGTTAATATTTAAGGGGTAATGGTTTGCAGCAGCTGATACAGCTCATAGTGATAGGTTGAAACTGTGTTACTATCATATCAGATCCTTGAGGTGAGCACTTACTGTTCTGTTGTCCTGTCTTGAATCTTCTGCTTGTGTGCTGGTAATACTTAATGGATGCATAAAATATGAGCTTATATCACATCTTTAAAATACCATCATTAATTAGTTCTGTGCTTACAGGTATTTATATTTTTGCTCATCCCTAACTATTATGTCCTGCACTTTGAAGTGCTGCTTTTCAGAGCTTAATTCCATTGTTCTGACCCAACGGTAGTGTCTGTTGAATCGAAAGCTGTTAAACTACTGAAATGCAGTGTATTGCTGCAAAAGTAAGAACTGGCAGAGTAACATTGATTAGCTATTCCCTTGTCAAATCCCAAGCAGATTCTGCATACAGCATCTGGTGGCCCAAGGCAATAAAATAATGAGCATCAATTTCTCATGCCAGGTCTCAGTCTCCTTATTTCCTAAGTTGGTGTGGTTTCTAAACGCTTGTTTTGAAACTGGCTCTTCAATTCTGTGATGTATGATTGTTTATATAAATGTCAGATTGAAAGATCAAAACAGACTGCCTTCCCTTTAGCACTGTTTGGAGATAAGACTGAGGCAAGCACCTGTGAACGTGTGAGGCTGCATTTCTTTCATCTTTTTGTGAATTCTGTGTAAGAAAGTAATTTCTCCTACAAAGAATAATAACTTGAATTCATGATAGGATTTTAACTAGACCTTTTTGTTTATTCCTCTTGCCATCTATTCTTAGCAAATTCTTACAGTTTTGCAACTTATTTTCAACCATAAGGGAGGGAAATATCAATAGGAATTTCCTTGTGAATGGATTTTTCTAGTTTAAATTTCCTTTTGTTCTCTTATCTACTACAACTGCATGTGTACTAGAGATTAAGCAGTCACTGTTCTTTCTCTGTGTTAATGTGAAAAACTGAACAGAAAGTGCATGGAATAGCTCCTGTACAATAACACCAATTCTGATGTCAGTATACATCACTGTGGCACATTCCTTGTGAAAAAATGTCTATAATGGACCTCATGCTTTGCAGCAAGTGCTTCTCAGTACAATTGTAAAAACATTTCAACCATTTGACAAACAAATTATGAGGTGAAAACCAAGTAGTTAACATTATGTATGGATTGTTGTCCTATGTAACAACAATTCTATAATGCATAGATCCTGGCAACCATCAAGAGGCTCAGATGAGATCATGGTTAGTGCTGAGTGTATGTTCTACAGAATATATTTCCTGTCATGCTGGAAACAATAATTTGTGGTGAGGTGATCAAATTTGGTTACTGCCTGCTGGATTTACGTAAGGCAGTTGTGCTGAAGGGTCTCACTTGAAAGTACTTGTTTACTGCCTTTTTTTTATCCTCTACAGCTGTATTTTCTGTGCAATTGGTATGACTTACTGCACTGGCAGTACTGCATTAAAGGTATGAAGACTATTACAAGTGAAGGTTGTAAACCAAGTAATTCTAATCATGTGAAGGGATTAACTGGGGGGATGTAACTGGACATCTAGGCAAGTCACTTCTTGTGGTAGGTGTGGTATTTTAAAACAATTGCAAAAACTCCCACATTTAGAGAAGGAAATCTAAAAATCACAGGTAAAATGGTTTGGGGATTTTTAAGATACTCTGTAAGTCACAGGTAGGAGTTCCTGTGGTTTTTTTAGAAGATAAGTGTGTGTGTGTGTGTGTGTGTACATATTACTTTTTTTTTTCTTCTCCCTTCATTGAGTTAGACAATTTTCATCAACTTAGCCTTCACCTTCAGCTTTTTGATCAGACTTATTAGAGATGATTTCAAGTGAAGGATCCTCTGACATTCTGCAAACTCTTCATTCTTTGTGTATTTGTTTTATAAGATTAGTTTTCCCATTCTGTATGTAAGTTTTTCTTGCCTTCCTAATGTTTTCCAGCATCTTTATTTCAAAAATATGACTGTAATTCTTGAATGCATTGTATCAGTTCAGGGTTATTTCACGCTGTAAATACTGGTATTCAGTAAATGTGTACTTCATTTTGCAACATGTAAATAATATGACTCTTTGTTGACAATTGGTTTATGAATGGAGCTTTTATGCCCTATTGCTGTGTATCTCAGGTGGAAAAAGGAGAGAGTTGTTTGTTGGTTTGATTATTTTTTTTTTTTTACTTTTTAAAGTGGTTACAGATGGTGCCTGTTCTGTTGGTGGTTTGCACATGCTTGGGGTCTTTCAGACTTCTTTACTCTCATGAGAAGTTCAGTGAGGCCTGTGTAAGACGTTCTCATGTAAGCAGTCAGCTATCAGAAATGCCCTTTTCCTTCAGAAATCATTGCTTTGGAGACCTACTACTATAAGTTTGTGTCTCAGGCACTGTTCTGCCTCTCTGCATTATGGTTTAAATTTGTATACCACTCCAGTATAATTGATTTGTCATATAAAAGCATTTTTTTTATTATATTAGAAATGTCTCATTAGCAGTGATGCCTTTCTTGCAACATTATGCCTTGAAAAGCAAAGGAAAATCTGTTATGGAAAGTTGCCACTTTTGTTTAATGTCTTGAGAAGAACAAATCAATGTTCCCAGATGATCAGACTGTCCTCTAGTTCACAAGTTATGTAAGAGATTTGTGCTGCCAAATTGAGTTGGATTAGAATTTTCCTCAGTAGGGCTGAATTTCTACTGTCCTTGCTCCTTCAGCATGTTTGTTGGCTAGAGCTATTACTTACTGAGTACAAACAACATTTGGATGCAGATATCTGAGAGGAATGAAGGGAATAGCTGTAAGAATGCTTCTGTGCATGCAGCAGCCAAACGGATACAAATTGAGCAGAAACCACTGACGAGGTTTTTTTTGCGCCCTTGCATTCGTCCCATCCTTCCCATTTGTTCCTCTGATTGATTTACCCAATTCTTACTGCTGCATTGGCTAGAGAAAACACCACCCAGGTTAGTCATTTGGAAATATGGTTCCAAGGCATAAAGACTATTTTCATTTTTACCTGGTTCTGTACTGGCTGGGCACTGCTCTATCCAGAGTATTTTAGGGCTTCTTTTGTATTGTCACAAGAGTAAATTGTAATTGTAAACACAAGAGTTACGTGCAAAAAAAATAATGAACAATAGCTTGAATTTAGCAGCTGCATGAAGTAACACAATGAACTGCATTACTATATTTTGCTAACAGAGCTGTACATTTCCCAGCCATGGAAACAACAGACCACAGTCTGAGAAATTCATTATTCACTGAAAGACAGCAAGCCAAGAGAAGGAGAAAACTCTACATCAGAGGACAGTAAACTGTCTGTAGATGACAAGAAAGCCAGTGTAAGATTTCTTAGGGTCAGGAAGTAAAAAAGGCTTTCATGATGGACATGAAATGTACAGTGAGAACTTCTGTACCTCTAATTGTTCAGATAGTGCTACTGAAACTAAGAAGTGATAATGCTTCTGAATGTCTTTCAGTACAGCTTTTTAGTGCCACTGCTATATGCAAGCAGCATTTGGTTAATTGAAAGAGATTTGTTAATTGTTTACATGAAGAAATTTTGTTTCCAGTGCCTTTGTGCCCACTGGTTGCTCAATAGATGTTACTAAACTATCTTCTCAGTGAGCAGTTGTTCAGCATGGGATCATGGTTGTGTCTCTTGCTTCCACTGTCTTACCAGGTCACTGGTAAGATTTAGGTTGCAAGGTGCAAAACTGTATACTGATAACAGGAAAACTGACCTGGAATATCATTAGAGAATGAACACCGTTGCCACACTGCAGCTGAGGTTTGGTACTAAGCAAAACTATTTTTGCCATCCCCAATGGTAGAACTGGATGGACAATCTGATTAGGCATGAGGGCAGCCCTTGCAAATAAGAGCCAAATGTTTATGTTAGTGAGGATTATAAATGTGCCTCATTGTGAAAAGCAGTTGGCTTTAAAGTAATTTTCTTCTTCCCAGACTTCTGCTTTTATAGAAGTTATCATCTGAACTTCATCAGAACCTGATTTTTTCATTAACTTTTATGGATGGAAGCTGCAGTTCACTTAACAAAATTTGCATGAGGCATACACATGTTCATCAACTCTGTCTAACATCAGCAGAAGACTTAAATTCTCTGTGGATAAGGAGGGCTCATTTCACCCACGTCAGGGCAACAAGAGCGGATGTGGTGGAGGGGCCTTGATGAATTTGTTTGAAATCCTGTAAAAAAAAAAACTGAAGGGAAAAGCTGAGGGCAGTCTTCTCCGTGTGGATATTGCTGATGAAGATTATTTTCTGACATGGTTCATCGAGACATTTCTGAAATTGAGTAAATAGCAAGTTGAGTTTTCAGGTATCACAGAAGTGACAGTCAATCTGCCCAATTAAAGCAGGCATTTCCAGACTAGATTTCAAATAGTAGAAAAGCTCAAGAAACTGCTTCTTCCTTCCTTAGCCTCTCTCTTTGCACTGAAAGACGCAGACTGAACTTGGCAATGTTAGCAATTCATTAAGGCTGTTTTTCAGAGCAAAACAAAAGTGCTTCCAGCAAATGCACTTACTATATGCCTGTCTGCCAGGTGGTATTGGGAAAAGAAATGTAGACATTTTTTTTCTGCCTCTTTGTAGTTACGATTAAATATAGCTATTGCTTAACTGTTTCAGTTCATACGCAAACGTAGAACTCATAGTTGCAATTTTCTATTGGTTAATGGGTCTATTCACATGTAACTATAATGTGGTTATTAGGCACACATTTTATTACAGAAAATCAATCCTTAGTTTTCTGTTACTGCTTTTGCTGATGTAAAAGTGAGAATTTTGTTTCTATACATCCCAGATTGTCACAAACACTTACTGATGTGTGTACTCCTGTTCACAAATACATCAGTGTCACTGGGCTGTGTGTGATAAAAGGCTTTCATGGCTGCTAGGGATCTGGCATCTAGCCAACAATTCTTGTTTTTTTGTTCTTGTTTGGTTTGTTCATTTCCAGAAATACAGCAGCTGGGTGCCAGGGAAAAGGTTTTGAAAGGCTGATATATTTAAACAATTTAATAAAAGTTTCAGATCCTTTTCCATATAAACTTGTATATGACAAAATCACAAGACTTGTTTGGAGATGAATCTATAGCTTACTCAAGCTTAACTGTTGTGTACGAGCTGTGAAATGAAATTTTATAACAACTACTCTACCATCAAGTGCCATGTGCTCTTGCTTTATTCCTGCCTTTGTACTGGTAATGAAAAGTCAATGCTTAATTGAGGGAGGGAATTGTAATACTAGCAACAGTAAGAGTGTGATGCACAAATGCACACTTCTCTCCTTGAGCACTTGTTAAGCATTAATTTTCCCTTACAGCAGGAGGTAACTTGTGCCTGTGTCTTTGTTGTATTATGATTATATAATCTACCAAGTGTCCAGGGCAGAATATGATAAGAGTTTGATACAGGAGTTGATTAATTCAGAAATCAAATAAAGCATAGTTTTTGTATAGTTTTTTTTCCTGCGTGTTCAGTTTTCCGTAAGGCTGTATGTATATATTCACTTGTGTGCATGCAAGTTTTACCACCAGTAAATAATTAACTTAATTATTTTTTAAACTTAATTATTTAATTAACTTAATACTTTGAGCTATACAATTCTTTAATTTGTTTAAAGATATTTTTTTTTTTATAACTGTTCAATTTTCAGTGCTGGTTAAATTTAGGCAGGGAATGTAATATTTATTAAACATATATAAAACAAAGTCAATTTAACTTACTGTCATTTGGACATTTACAAGTTATGATATATTCTTACAATTCTACCAAAGTTTAAGGCATATCCAGGTTGTTGTAGGACATTTTATCAAAAAAAATGAGTCAGTAGGATTGTACTGCATTGAGGAGCACACAGCTATATCTGAAAGTACAAAGCATCCCTAGGGACCTGTAGTGACTGGGAATGCTGCAAATAGGTGGAACAAGCAGGGTGTGCTGCAGTAGTCAAGTGTGGCACAGCAGTTGGCATCATGGATCACCTGGGAAGACACACAAGTAGGGCACTGTCACTTGTCACTTCCAGCAGTTTGGTCACAGCACCCACCCAGCAGAAAGCTGTGTCCCCTTGGCCTCACTGGTCACAGCAGCTGACACAGCTAACCAGACCACTCCTGAGGCACGTGTGACCATCCAGGTCTTTTCCAGCTCAGGATATTCTATGACTGTATGTATTTCTGCTAGTGACTTTTGGAAATGGGGAAGTAATTGTCTTACTCTTTTTCCAGTGCTGTATGGCTTCCAAAGGGCAGCTCACCAGACTACCAAAGGGCTATTTGTGGTAGCAGTGTGGCATGTATTTCACCATACCACTTAGGAATTTCATCCTGCTCTCCAGTTGTGCCAGACAGAAAGGAGGAAGGATGGAGTGAAAACACACTACATCAGTCCTGAGTCTTGTGGCTGTCCAGAAGATCAAATGTAGTTATTTGAGTGAAAATCCCATCTAAATGCTGGAGTACCTTTGGAGAGGTATTTAAGTTTATCTTATGCAGTCTTTGTTAGTTGTTGCTTGAGATAAGTTGGTTTGTCTGATTTCTTAGGTGGGAATGAATGGGTCATTCATACTCCAGGAAGGCACTGTGCACAGAGAGTGAGAAAACACCTTGTCTGTTCTTTGTTGTGTAGCTATGAATTAAATACTTGCATCTGTCAGCGAGAGTTCTAGAAGACTGCAAGGTGTCAACAAGAAGGGACAGCAAAGCTGTGAAATAGCTGTTGCTCTCATACGTATTCTCCAAGCATAACTTGACTGTACCACATATAGCAATCACTTCCTGGCAATTGTTTGAGAATACTGACAGTAAATACAATTCAGAAGCTGTCTCCATTTAATACTTGATCAGGGTGAGGAACTCTTCCTTGGATTTTGGATCTTCGTGCAAAAATGGCGCTGGTGCTCACCTTGCTGTTCATCAGCTCCAAGCAATGCCATGCATATGTGTCTACAAAATGCTTTCTTAAATGTTCAGCCTTGGTTTACTATCACAAAATCACAGAATGACTGAGGTTGGAAGGGACCTCTGGAGGTTTTCTGGTCCAACCTCCTGTTCAGGCCCGGGCTACCCAAATTAGGCTGCTCAGGAAATATTCTAAAATCTTTTTATGTTTCAACCAGAGTTCACTGGAGTAGCATTTTTGTGAGTACAGCTCTGAAATGAACTGCTATTTTCCATAATCAGTAGTTAAGTGCCAGTTAATCAAGAAACTCCTAAATCATGCACTGTGTTTTCTATAAGAATAGTTTTTGTCTTATCTGTAGATTTTTTTATCTCTAGAATGGAATTCATAGGGAAAGCCTGACTGAAGACAAGTTCCCCTTTTTTAACTTAAGAATTAGATACTTAGCAACCCTTAACGGGGAAGACCTTTATCCTGCTGAGGTAGCTTCTCAGACAGCTTGTTGCTTTTGAAGATCTCCATCCCTCAGCACCCAACAACACACAGGCTTTTGTGCAGGAGAACTGCAGTGCCCACCTCAAGTACCATTGCACACAATTTAACCTAACAAGGAAGTACTGGAGCACCAAAGTTTCTTGCAGAGCCAGCTGCAAATGATTTCACCAAGGTCATTGTATCAGTGTCATTAGCAGAATCAGCTTTAAGGGCTGACTCAGAATGTCACCTGAACTCTCTCAGAAGGAAACAAGGGCAAAACAGCAGGTCTGTGCAGCTATTCATGATATTAACACCAAGCACTGTGATTAGATATTGGGAAGTATGTATAGTGATTTTACAACCTGGGGGAAAACCAGTATATTTCAGAGCCTCAGTAATTGTAAGAGCACTGCTTGGTAAGCTGCTCTTAGGAAGAAAATCAGGATCTTGTAAACCCCATTAGTACTGCCACTACTTGTGAAGCAATGCTGAGATGGTTCTGCTGCACTGCAGGTATGCTCCTATAAAGCAGTCTCTAAAAAAAAAAGCAGCAATTATAAAGCAGTCTCTAATATCTATGAGTTGCAGTTCAGAGCACAGCAGAAATACAAAAGGATCACTGACAAATTTATTTTTATTTTTGTCTCTATACTATGCAGAGCTGTGATTTGATTTTCTGTTTGTTTCGTTTTGCTTTCAGATGTAGGTATTGCTTGCTTTGCTTACAAAACTAATCTGGCAAAAGTAGCAAGTGACCAGCAGGGCCATCAGCAGCTGCCAGTAAAATAAGTGTGCTTGGTGTTAGCTCTTAACTACATAGATCACAGAATCTACCCTTCACACAGGCCTTAGCTCTCTGCCAAGTCCCTCCCTGCTGAGAAGTCTGGGCAATAGGAAAATATTTGCAGCATGCTTATGAGGCTATTTCAGTTCAGGCTGAGGTGCCAACTCGTCAATTAAGCGCCTTTCACATTGAACACCCTCCTGCCAGTCTCAGCCTGTAGATGATGGCAAGTGTTCTTTCAAACAGTGTGATGGGACAATAGGATTAGAAATGACAACATTTCCATGGTATGAAAAACTATGTTATGAAACAACTGCAGATAACTACATAAAGTATAACAACGTCCTATTATGTAAGCTCTAATTTTCGACAAAAATGTGTCTATATTTTGACATCACAGTGATTGTTTTTGTTAGGGGTGTAAGCAAATTGCAGATTATTTGCACTGTTCCTGTTGTCCGTAAAAGACTCTTGCCTGCTTTGGTTAGGAGAAGGCATTCACAGAACTTGGGATAGAGGAAGACCTTCATTTATGCACTTGGCAGCTGAGCTCTTCTGCAGCTTAGGAGACACAGCAGAGCTACCTGCCAGATTTTCATTTCTCAAAGGAACAACACTACTGTAGTATCAGCTCTTTATTTCTTTAGCTAGGAATTTAATCTCATTTTAATAAGTAATAAAATATTACTTTTAAATTCTGCATGTTTAGTGCTATCGTTGAATTCCAGTGTGCAGCTAAATGTAGCATAACACTAGTCAGGAATACAAAATAAATACACACCAAGAAATACCAGTTTTGTTGAATGAGGGCTTGTCTAAATCAAAAAGTTGTCTTACTGATTAGCAAAAAGAAGACAATGTAGAGACTACGATCTGCTGCAAATGAACGCTACATTACTAATGAATGTGAAGAAAACTTTTTGGGTGAAATAACAAAAATGTGGAAATAGAGGAGAAGATAAAAGTAATTGTTCAAATCAGGAATTTTCATGTGTTGAAACTAAATCATAATTAAAGGTTCAGATGATTAAATAAGTCATCTTTGAGACACGGTTCATATAGGTCTACATTGAGGATCTACATCCTACACAGCAGGATTTTTGTTAAAGCAGAAAGCAGGCAGTTGTGTTTTTGCACATGGCAAATGATACAAGCTGCTATAGATTAACGTGGAGTAAGTGTTGGAGCTATAAAAAGGGAAAGGTTTGGGTAAGCAGCACAAAGTATGCAGCTCAGGGAAAAAAAAAAAACAAACGAATGTAATGGGAGTCTCAGTTGTAGGAGGATTTCAAGATTAATCCAGTGAGTATAAAACTTGGATTAAGTTTGTCTGACTTTGGATAGAGATACTACCTTTATGTAGAGGAGTGACTGTTCTGTATGCAACAGCAGATTATCTACAATTGCTCACTGATTTTGCTGTATGCATTACGTGTGGCATTACTGACTTTCATTTTACTCAAACAATTAGCTGAAATTAGTCGCTGCAAGGATACCTGCAAGGTTTGGAAAAAAGAAATGGTAGTTACCCAGCTGCAAAGAAAAGTCACAAATTATCGACTCATCAGCCTAACTTTGTGCCATGGAGAAGTTTTGGAATAAAACACTGAAGAATCAATGTATGTGACATAAGACCCTGATAACAGTCCACCCACAAGCCCCCAGAGTAATCTGTCATTAGATGAACCAGTCCAATTTTCTTGTTTAAGGGAATAGTTAGCTTGGCAAGAAAGGAAGAAACAGTAACATATATACAGAAAATAACCACCTATCAGCAATACAGAATGTTTGTGGGAGCAAAGTATCTTACAAAATACATATGAGGCAACTAAATAGCATCATTCTAGGCTGAACGGGCAGAGTTGTTGTATTTTAATTTGATTTTGTTTAACTATTTTAAACATGTAATCGTTATGCTCTATTTGATCCTTTTAAACACTCAGATGGAAAATTCTGATGGCAGATTTTAGAGAACACAAAGCAAAGCTAGAGGAATGAGTTTGTTCACTTAAAAAAGAGGAGGTTACATGTAGAGATTTTAACTATTTTCCAATGCATGAATGATTATTAGCAAAATGTAGTGCTCGGCTGGTCTTCATCCTTAAAATAGTAAAACATTTCATGTTACACATGTATGCTCCTTGCTGTGAATTAAGCTGATTGGTTTTCATCATTCTGCCATGTAAGGTGCTAAAATAATTTGTATAGGTGTGCTGTAAAATTGTCTTCATTGGAACTTTTCAAGAAAATGGACAAGTACCTTTGTGGTTAGTCTAAAGACCCTTTAGCTGACTTTCATGCTTATGAAGCCTGGAGGCTGAGCAAGGAGAAACCTTATTGAAGAGATGGAAGCTGCACTGTGAGTTACGTGTAACAGAAACCCAGCTGAGACAAGAGCCTGCTTTAAGAACAGTAGACCAGCTGGTCAACTGAGGAGGAAGCCAGGCCTGTTTAGAAAGGTGGGATTTGTCTGAGCAAATATAAATATCAATGTCATAAAGATATATACATGGGCTAGTCAGCTTAGGCTCCCTATACATTCACTAGACTACTGTGTTCTTGCTATTTCCCCTTTTCCCTTGTGGTGATTCATCATACACCAACTAAAAGTTAGATGCCAAGTTTGAGTTAATCACCTTGTGTTCCCCTCATAGAATCAGAATTGTAGAATCATATGAGTTGGAAGAGATCCTTAGAGGTTGTCTAATCCAACTTCCTTGCACTGATCAGGGACACATTCCATCAGGTTCCTCAGAGCCTTGTTCAGTCTGACCTTGAATATCTTCAGGGACACAGCATGCACCACCTCACTGGGCAGCCTGTTCCAGTGCTTCACCACCCTTATTATAAACAAACCTTCCTTATATCCAGTCTAAATCACACCTCTATTAGTTTGAAACCATTTTCCCATGTCCAATCACAACATATCGTTCCAAAGAATCTGTCCCCTTCTTTCTTACAGCTTCCCTTAAGATACTTGGGTCACCCAGGAGTGTTCTCTATGCTGAACAGTTCCAACTCTCTCAGCCTGTCCTTTTAGGGGAGGTGTTCCATCCCTTGGAGCATTTTTGTGGCCCTCATATGGACACACTCCAACAGATCCATGTCTCTTTCCCCGACCATCAGTGGAGAGCAAAAATCTATTTCCAGGGTGTGATTCATCTCACATTAGAAGTGCATGTGATGTTTTTTCCCCTGTAATGGCTCCTGCAGGCTGGTAGCACGTGACAGAAGTGCCTCATAAGATGATTTTGTAATTACCCCATGGTTGAAACACAGGCACCTAGTGCAGGTTTAAATGAGGATCTCAGGGGAGTCTTCATACCGAACTTTCAAACCCTCTGTGAATTTTCCTCTCATCCCCCTCTCATTCCCCATTTGGCTTGAGAAATTAAAAACAAGTGCTTTTTGGAAGGGACAGGGAGAGATGTACAGAAAATGAAAGCATGTAACGGATGGATATTTAGATAGTAATGCCCCACTGGTGCATGTTTCTGTTGTCAGCTAGCCAATGAAATCAGCTGGCAGAAGGCTCTGGGAATGGATTTCTAATATGTTGTCTGTTACCTCTTCTGAACTTTGAAGCCAAACATATTAATGAATATCGCTTAATCACAAAACAGGCCAGGTACCATAAACAGTTCCTTTTACTGCTAATATTGTATCCATGCCTACTTAGCAAAGATGAGATAACATATTTTAGCCTGACTTGCTAACTTAAGTGTTAATCAGAGTGATAAAGCATGAGAAGAAACGTGCAATAAGTTCCTAGAAATTTTATCTGTGACCTCCTGATTTGGTGGGACAGTTTGCATGCCCACTGAGGATTAGAGTGCACTGCAACTGCCCCGACAGCACCAAAATTCATTCCTGTGAATGCAGTTTTGTGACGCGTAGCAAAATAGTATCAGACATCCAGGTATATAGAGCTAATAAAGTATTTAGACATTTTTATGAGCAGTATACTATGAAACTGCTCTTCCAATAATCTCTGTTGAAGAAATTTGGATACAGCAGATGAGCAATATATCATATACAGAATGATGTGAGGCGATAAGTAATCACACCTATACCAGTTACCGAGCTTTGGAATTTCAAATACCTATTCATATATGCAGAAACATCCACATAGAGAAATGTTTGTTTAAACTACATTGTATTTTATATCTGACACAGGTTTCCTTCTAGAAAAAAATATCCTGATTCCTTCATATACATTTTTTCACAAAATCATCTCATATCTGCTGCAAGATATTTATGCAAAAATCAAGGCAGACTGTGATGTTTTTGTTTAAACAGAATTTCTCAATCAATTTTCATGTTACTGCATGATAAAATTAATTTTGCTAACATTCTGTATGTCTTTCCCCCTTTTAAAATTTGAGACTGGTTTTTTTTTGGACAGCCTCTGGCATGATGGGAGTACTGACTCTGCCGACTCTTTGGAAATGTCGTGGCACAAAGTGTAAATTATCCAGCACAAAGGCATGAGACCAAGGCGTTAGCATTACCCAAGAGTTCAAAGTGAAGCAGACCTCCAAAGTATGAAGCTGATTTAAAAATCATAACATTTCATCACAAGTCACTTTGGGGGCAGGGACCTGGCCTTCTTCTTTTTGAGGTCTTAGGACTTAGGTTTTTCCACCTTGCTCTGCAGCGTTCAAAGCGGTTAACTAACATTTTACCTTTTGTTCAGTGTCCTTTTTTAAGATGAAAGCTGATAGTTTCATAGACCTCTGGAAATTGAAGCCAACAAATTGCACGTGAGGAAATTCATGCAACTGTGAAGAGCACTGAGATCCTACCTTCTCTTCAACTTAATAAAAACCCAGAAAGGGCAGAACCATCTGTTTTTCATATTAGATTTTCACTTTTTGGAATAAATCCTGGAATAAAAATAAACCTAACTGTGATATTCAGCTCCAGCTCAATTTCTACTGCTGAAATGAAACAGTTTCTGCTCATTTAAATGAGAGCTGGAGCAGAACTTCTTGAGCAGTACTCTTTTTCACTTCTCTCTGTTCAGAAAACAATTCAGGGCTCTGTGACAGTTTGCTAACTGATTTTAAATGTGAAGAACATAAAAGGAAAAATAATTTTAATGTCACAACTAAACAGACAAACGTGCCTTAATTTAACTTCCTTTCAGGTCAATAGAAACTTTCCATTAACTTTGCTGGGCACTGAACCAAGTCAGATAAATCAAGCTGAAAAACGGAATGGAATCTAAATAAAGCTGACAGCCTAGAGTGAGATCCAGGGTAATAAGCTTAATGTATTGCCAACCCCAAACTCTGAAGGCATGTGTGCCTTATTCAAAAACAATCTAGGCAGAGTGCGTCAAAGTGTGTGGAGGAATTTTCTGTTGTTGAAAGCCTAAGCGAGGAGATTTTAAATATAGCAGCAAGCCGAACCTAGATTAAATCATTAAGCATATTTTTAGGCTGTTTAAAAAGTGTAGGTTTTTTAGGCTGTGTAAAAAGTACTAGAAAGTACTAGATACCACTTCTGACCAGGTCACTGTTGCAAGAAATAATTCTCCATGAGTTCTGTGGAAGTAATATCTGCAGATCTGTTGGCAGTCTGCAGCACGTTCAATAGAAAATGACTTGAAGCAGAACTGCTGTAATGTTAGCAATAACTATGTTGAATCAGAGTCTGTGAATACTCTACATAAATGACATTTATTAAGACTGGCTTCTGTTAATGACACTGCACAGGGCTGCATTTGGCAAGCAGTAAAGATAAAGTGTAGCATTTGTACTTTGGCACTGTATCTGCTTTGTCCCAGTGTCACTTGGATATGTTATTCATAGCTTTCCTTATTTCAAGCTGACATGCTTTTGTATTTCCTATGTCCTTACTTTTGAAGAATTAGTTGTGGAGATTTTTGTAATGCTGTGTGGTTCCAGAGCAGGTGAGATTTAGATAACACAGAATTGTTAATCCCAGTCCTTGCCTCCAACATATCTCTCATTCTATCCAGAGTACCCTGCATCTGAGACTTTTCTTGCTGTGTTTTCAAAAGCCCGATGGCCAAGTATACCTCACATTTTCTTCAAGTTTCTTTCCCTCTCTATTGCTTCTGATATGTTCCCTTACCCTTTGACTGCAATGTTCTCCCCTGAGGCTTAGTCACCTGCTTACCTCCTCTGCTGCCAGGGAAATCAACCCACCCATTTTGCTTTTGGGATTCTTCTTCACAAGTCTTTCATTCAAGCCCATCTCTGGTTACCTTTCTTATGACCCTTATATCCTTGTTCATGATACCACTACTCACTTGTATCGATTCAGCTGCAGTCTTACTTGTTAGCCAGAGTTCTCTTCCAGCCACCACAGGAGCAGACATGGTTATACAAAAGATGGAAATGGCAATGCCAATTCTGTGAGGTCCCTTATAAAAGTAATGAATAATGTTTCGATAGCATACCAATGGATTTTCAACCTCTAAACAAGTGGAATGCTTCAAGCAAGTGTAAAAGCTAATATGTTGCCATAAATGTCATCACTGCTAGCATGCCAGAAGAGGAATAGATAAAACTCAGGGCTCAAAAAGATGCTCGTATCTCTCTGAGGGATATACATGGAACTTTGGTGAGTCCTAGCTCATGAACAAATTATCACAGTGTAGAAAATATGGTAGCAGTACAGAAGCAGCACTTTAACCTGTAGCAACTGTCAGATTTGGTGGCGTCATTCTTTTTGGATGTTCGAAGCACTTCTGCACAGCTCTAGTTAAATGTGCTGTATAGCAATATTTAGGCTTTTGTTGGGCTCACTGCCTTTGAGAGTCTGCTGAGTAAAGAGAGCCTCACTACAGCTGGCCTTGCTGCTCCTTCCAGTGTTGCCTGTGCACAGCTCTTCAAAGCTGGATCTGGGCTGGAGTTGTGCAGCCAGCAGACCTGTGCTGATGAGCAGCACCCAAGGGAACGCACCAGAGACTTTTGTGTGCCTTTCCACAGTTCTCAGTGTAGAGCACAACTGAATGTGCTGGCCTTTTGATCTCTTGCAGCACCAAAGACTTCACAAGCCACAAGATCCTTTTTGCTGTTAGTTCTGTTGGTACAATCTTGTGTTTGATTTAAATCAGAGGAATTCCACAGCGCAGCAAGGATCTTTTGCTATGACTGGACTTTCTCTCTCCACTTGCAGCTCTCTCTTTTCAATCATTGCTTTTCAGCTAAAATACTTACCCGCTGTCAGCCTTTGTGCCATGGCAGGATCAGAATGCCTTTTTTGTATAATGCCTTGGCTGGTTCAAGTCTCCTCATGGATTCTGAGTCTCTGTTTTTTCTCACATTTCACTTCCTTCAAAGCTTTGGTTTGGACGAGGCTATTATTGCTATTCCATCATTGTTCTCTGCAAATTGCTGTTGGTATTGCAAATGTTTATTTGGGTCTACAGGAGTTAATGAAGGTTTTGCAGTGACTCACGAGAGCTCAGGCTGTGATTCATCCAACCTCTACTGAAAATTCTTTCCAGAGCCAGGTCTCCCAGACTGAGACATATTGTCATAAGCTCTCACGTGTTATATTCCATGCCTTGAAATTCTCTCAGCAGAATCATTGAGCATTTTAGCTTGAATGGCTTTCAAAGTAATAAGATACAATTTACCTTTCGTAGGGTAGATCTTCATGCATTATTGCCATCACTTCAGTATATTTCTACTTATTTATTTCTGCAATTTATCCTTCAGATTACTGTTCCTCTTTCTGTCTTGCCTAGCGATGTCTTACACTTAGAATATAAAGTTCTCCTATGACTCATATTCCAGGCAAAATGCCATTCATTCTAATAGAGTGAAAATATATTTTCCCCATATTAATTTATTGAAATCTGTTTTTTGTTCAGATCATTTTCTGCACTTTCAGATATGTCTTATTTGTTCCTGATCTCTTCTGGAGCTCTCAGCGCATTTCAGAGTGTAATAGATTAGACATCACAGCTCCACTATGGAACAGGTAAGTACTAAGAGGTTTATTTCCAAGTGACAAAGTCAGACATAGCTTATAAAATTCATTAATGGTCATAAACTGGTAAATGAGCTGTGATCTGAATCAATTTCTTATTCTGAGCTTAAATCTTACTTACTTCTACTTAATCACCCTTTCTTAGGTCAGCATGTATATAAAGCTTATGTTCTTAAAGCTAAAATATATGGTATGATTATAAATTTGGTTTTAATTGGGAAAAAGGAAGAAGCAATTGGGAAATGCAGTTCTGATACCCAGGGCCATTTTATTACTCCATATTAGCTCTGTCTAGAAGATGGAAAATTATCATGTGTTTCCTTTGTCTTAGCAAGCTGATTGCCAAGTCTAGAAGAGTAACCTCTTTACAGGATGCTCAAGCAGCCATCAGCTCATCACTTTTCAGCCTGAACTTTGAGCTGTGAGCAGTAGCTGCTTATCTCAGTCAGCCCTGACAGCTTTTTGAGATTTAGGGTGAATATATTTCTGGTCTTAAATTGGGAGCGATGTGATTGTCGTCATTATATGCTCTCCAGGCTTATCAGTGCTGTTATTTTTCATTTTCTCTTGTTTCTAGTTAAGAAGGGTTACTTGTAAATAAAAATGCTTGTTTGATGTTTTTCTTGTTGGGGAGGAAGGGGGGGACGACAGCATATCTTTCTTACAGAACACTGCATCAGTACTGTTTAATTTGAAGATTCCTGCTTTTGGGCTTCAGTTGATGCTGTGTAGGTGGTTTTGTAAGGAAAATGAAGTCAGCCTTGTGAAGCTAATCAGTCTTTGGCTAGGAAATGAGGCTCTGTCTGTAAAGGAATGCTTAAGACAGGACTGCTCAGTATCTGGGCAACAAGATGCATTTAGCCACAAAGGGAGTTCTACACTCCAACTTGTGCTCATTCTCAGATGGCATGAATTGTAGTCGACAGCACTTGCATATGTACTTGGGTCTTCCCTGGATGTCTGGTGCCATCATTGCACAATGTTAGTTACATGAACTACACACACAGCTGTTGGAAATGAGGACACATGCAGGCTGAGATTTCAGCTTGGGTTCTGTTGTTTTCCTCTCAGTATGTTTGTCTATCCTGTGCACCTTCCCACTAAAGCTCCAGTACATGAGTTTGCTGAGGTAGCATAGTTCTAGTAAATGCAGGATACAGAAGCAATGGAGACACAGTGCATTGTGTTTGCCCATTCTCCTTTAAGATGGGCTACACCACATCATTTCTGTTAACTGTGGACTCGGCCTTGCTCTTTGTGAACGTGCTTTAGAGGCATCTATAAGAGATATCTGTAGTCTTGCAGAAGACCGATCTTCTAAAAGTAAATTGATTTATTTACATATATACTGCTCCCACAAAAGACACTGAGACACAGCACTGTGCAGATATCCATAAAACAGACTCTCTGTCCAGCTATAGTGACATGTAGCTGTTCCTTCTGATAACCCTTCTGATAGCGTGGACAGGATCCAGCACATATATTGGCAAATAACTCCATGAACTGAGTGAGCTCTTCTGCAGAAACCCAGAGAAAGGCAATTGCACCCTCTTGCATATCCTTGGCAGGCGTAAATTCCTCTTTCCACAGAAACCTAACAGTGTACAGACATATACATATTGGGAAAAGAGCATCAGTAACTTGAAACAAAAGTGTATCAGAATTGAAATGCTAATGAGGTGTCCTTTATTTCTTCACTCTGCCCTTTTTTTGCTGGTAACTTAATAGCAGGCTTCCTGCAAACTATGGATGTGATTATCTCACAGACGGGAGTTTCTTAGGAAGTCCTTCAAGAAGGTGTGACAGCTGTATTCCCAAATACTGTTCTAAAGTAGTACATGGTAGACATTATGCATTTCTAATTTAAAACTATTATAAATTTGTTTATCTAATTAATGAATTTGTTCATATATACTGAGATCAGTAACACTGACAGATAAGCAAAAATAATATTCTTTACTCAAGGAAATACTAACTGGGAAACAGAAGATTTTTTGAATCTGTTACTAAGAAATTTGCAACATTTTGGGGTTTTTTTTAACCTCATAAAATAGATCAACTATATAGTATTTATATATCTAGCAGGAATATCCAATTTGTGAATCAGAAATGCCCTTTTGAAGAGAAGACACCTATAGGAAACACCCTTTTGGAAAGTTTGGCTTCATCTGCTAGAACCAATTTGTAGGTGTTAGAACCCAGGCTAAGACCAAGGGTAGGAGTCTCACTATTCGCTTGCCATGAGGCTCTTAGAAATTCCTTTGAATCACTTTGTATTGAACACTATCAGAGAAAAGGCTTTGGACCAAATGAATCTGGACCTGCCTATGCAGGTAATATACCTGTACTGAAACTTTGCTTCTGAACTGCTGTTCTCTTTACCTGCTCCAGCACCTAATTTCTCGTGAGCTTACATGAGTTACTGTCAGCTTGAATAGAATTTTTCCTATCAAGACATTTTAAGACAAGACATTTTAATAGTAGACTTAAAACTAATTCACTGAATAGACAAACAACCAATTACACTAAAATTGCCATTAAATTAAATATTTTTGCTTCTTCAGTCTGTTTTTCGTTATGTGTGGACCCTTGGCACCATCTAGTGTTTGAAAATGTATACCAACATTACTGAGCTCAAGAAGAGGTTTCAGCTGCAAAAGAAACCCAAAACAAAACAGAAATAAATAAAAAAAAACCACCAAGAAGCAAAACCACCAACACTGGTCCGGGGAACAATCATCTAATTAATTCCATTGAATTAAATTTTTCCAGTTACAGCATACAAATATACAAGAGCAGGATATGCAAAAGCCTGTACACACTTGTGACTTAGGACTAGAAGGAATGGCCTCAAGTTGTGCCAGGGATGGTTCAGGTTGGATAGTGGGAAAAATTTCTTTTCCTAAAGAGTGTTGAGTCTCAGCTCCTGGGTCTGTTTAGATGTTGTACTAAAGGACATGATTTAGTGGAGAAATATTGGTGGTAGGTGGACAATTGGATTAGATGCTCTTGGAGGTCTTTTCCAACTGTGGTGATTCTATGATTCTGTGATTCTATGCCTTTCAGTCCCTTGTTGTCTGATGAAATTGCACTGGAACTATTATATCAATTCAGATATGCTGTTCTTCAGTAATATACCAACAGAGATTTTCTGTCAATATTTTGTATTTCATGAATATAGCTTGCTATGAAGACTATATTTTCATAAAATCAGTAAGAGGTTTGTAGTTTTAGCATAGAGTCCTATGGCTTCTAAAAAAGCTGAGGCAGCATAGTCTTTGGCTTCTGATATCTCGAGACCATGACTTGCAGCAGCTGACTGAAAGATGTGCGTGAAATGCAGTATGGTTAACCAAGTGTGAAAGGGAAATAATGCTGTGAGAGCAAATTACACTTCCTTCTACGTGCTATGAGAAATGTAGTCAGGGGAAAAAAATTATACCCCATTGTCAGTTCATGCCAGGCCAAATGAAAGCCAGGGAGAGGTAATATCATTTTTAACTGATAGCTTTTCTTGTTCTTGTGAGTCCATGAATGTGACCCAGCTGCTGGTTGTTGATGTATTGCCAGGAATGGCTGGGAAAAGACAATCAGCCATAGTCAACTAGAGATAGAAGCAGAGGATGTGTGGAAGACAGAGAACAGAGAGGATATTCAGCATTTAAATTAAACTTTGTGGATCCTCATACATATATTGAGTTTGGCTATGCACAAAACAGATTACAAGTGCCTTCTTAGAAAAGCAATCAGCTGGATTAGAGAGCCTGAGCCACCATTAAGGAAGTAATTGTGATTGCCTTTCTATGGCTGTCGGAGAATTAGACATCTGGTTGGTCTTTACACTCTTTGCTAGTCAATGGAGAGACAGTGCTTTCAGAAGGTGATTCACTCCATGTATCTAAGACTTTTAATTTGAAGTGGAATGAATCTAGAGTTTGTTAGGTAGTTCTTCCATTCCTGGATTGTAGAGGAGGCCTAAAAGGCAAGCTTAGAGGTTATGCTAGATTGAGAACAGTTGGATGGGACGAGACCTGTACTGAGTTGGAGGCAGAAGTGAAGTGAGAAGAAGACACCTAAAGGAAAACATACAGTTAGTGGCTTTTGCTGTTTTTTATTCATCATGCTTAGGGTTAAGGTCATAGGCATGACAGTTTTCAGACCAGTGTCTTTAAGTGGATAAAATGATGTGCATATGCTTGTTATCTCTGTTCCTCACTTCTCTCTGCCCATGGGCTCCATTTACATTTGCTTCAGCACTTCTGTAATATTAAGTAGTCTGATAAGTGCAAGAATTTACTTATAAATTAAGTAGTCTGATAAGTGCAAGAATTTACTTATAAATTAAGTAGTCTGATAAGTGCAAGAATTTACTTATAAAACAGGTGGCAGGATCAAGACTTTCTCTGGGGACTGATGTCTCCCAGCGTTTGGTGCAGATTTTTAAAGCTGTGTCCAGTCTGGCTGTGGCTGGCAAATACAGGCCCTGAGGCTCTCTTTCTTCACAGCTGTCACAGGACAACTTGATCTACCCTTGTCTGCCCTTCAGAGTGAGCTCAAAATTTTCATGCAGTCTTTTCTGTAGAAGTAAACCTGGGGTTACATGGTTCATAACTGAATATGAGTCAGTTCTGTGGCAGGACTGCAAAACAGATAGATGATGTTCTGGGAAATGTTAATAATAGGGCAGTACTTAAGCCAAAGGAGGTCATTTTTCTGGTCTGTTTGGTGTTGGATTTTTCTTCTGCTGGTAGAACAGAGTGCCCTGTTTTGTGTCCCGTGTTTCAAAAAGAATGAAAAACTAGAAAGTGGAGAGAAAAGCAGTAGAAATGGCAGAAAACTTGCACTCTGAGAAAGAAAAGAAGGAAGCTAGGCTAAAAAAAAAAAAAAAAGGGAAAAAAAGAGGAAGCTGAAGAAGAAATACAGCAAACTGCTAAGAATGTTTTCAGTTGTTAGAAAGTTGATTCAACTGTTGTCTCTGCCCAGTGCAGGTAAGAAATTCAGAACAAATTATCTGAATTTGTAATGGGAGACTTAGATTAGCCACTAGAAAAAAATTCTAGCTAGAAGAGTTAGATGTGAAATATTGTGAGAAGATGCTGCCTGTGGTAATAGTGCAATCACTTTCACTGGAAGCTGTTATGAAATAAGCATGTGTCAGGAATAGCTTGATATGCTTCATTCTGTGTCAGTACTAGGGAGTGGACTGAAGGATACCAGGAAATGCCTTCCAGCTACAGATCTCTAAGCCTCGTTAATGCTGTCAAATTTCAGGAAAAACTGTATCTACTTGACACAGGCAAAGTGACAGAGATGTGACCTTTCCCATAAGTTTAGCAATATACCTACCTCTTTTTGTTTTTTTTTTAATCCCTAGAACTTGCATTCCTTGGCTGCCTCTGGATGGGCAAATGCTGGTAGAGGCTGGAACCCCCCTGTGCCTGACTAGCAGCTAGCGAATACCTTCCTTGTCAAGGACCTTGCTGCATCTCTCTGCATTTCTCACTTCCATTCTGGATCACTGCACTCCTCACCAGAACAAAGGTAATCCAAGCTAACAGAAAAGGAAGGTGTGCCTGTGCTCTGCATTGTGTCATACATAGAGTGCATTTAATCTCTACTTACATACAGATTGTGCTAACTTTGTAGGAAATACCTATTTTAGTTGTGCTGGAGTGACTGAACCTCAGGGTTCATACAATTAGCTTTGTTATTATCAGAAGTGCAAGCAGTTGTATTTTGCACTTGAGTGCAAACTGCAGAATCCATCTAAGATGCTGAATATGGGAGATAGACCACAGTGCTACAGCTGCACTCTAATCAAAACCATATTTTATACCTCATCTGAGTTTGTGTTTGTGATTGTAAATAGATATGCCCTTTGAGGATTTTGTTCTTCTGGCTCTTACGTTGGTGAGATCAGCTTAGTTCCTTACTTCAAACATTAAGGTCTGGTGGATAACAGTTTGCAAAGGGGAACTCTTGAGCTTAAGCCTTCCCCTTGTTCCAAAAATCTGTAAGATTTCCAAAGATGGTTGAAAACATCTGGTATGCTCTAGAAAGAAGATACCTTTTGTCGCTGTCAACTGGCATGTATTTGTATATACATTTGATGTTAGCCAGGAAAATCTAGCCTTTCTTTTACCTGAACAGAAACATCTTCTTGAGAGACACCAATTATCCACTTCAATTCAGCCCTTGGCAAATAAACAGAATGTACTCTCATGACACTGGTGTCAGCCAATATCAAACCATACAGGTTCTGTGGGGTTAAAGCTTCTGGTAAAGAGGTGGCCTGAGGCCTTCTCTGGCAGGAAGGATCAAACGGAAAGGCTGTTGCTTTTTCTCCTGTAGAATTTCTTTCAGGGTCATTTTTAACATTGTTAGTTCATTTTTTGTGCATTTTGTATCCTGCTGCATATGTCTGGAATGTCGTAACTGGCAAAGCACAGAAATCAAGTAATTAACAGCAGGACTGTAGAAGGGTGCCAGACTGTTCTATATAAATCACTGCTTTTCTTTTTGCAGTCCTTACTAAATTCTCAAGGATTATTTTTAAATTGTTTTGAGCTCTCTCTGAATATTTACCAGTATCCATGATGTTCAAGCCGATTAACTGTCCTCATTTTTACAATGCGAAGATTTAAATCCATAGTTTATAAATAACAGAAATAAATATATTTTTGAGAAATGCCTGGAAATGATCTTGGACTGTCAAGTTTAGTTTTGCACTGCAAATCTTCCTTGTTTCATTGACTGTATTTTATTAATCGTCTGGAAAGAAGCTTTGATCTACTGTGTCTGTGCACTTACCTACTTCAACTAAAAAGAGCAAACACACTTTCCTGCCATTTATCTCCTTGAAGAATTCAAAAATATAAATGAACTAGAACGCTGGCACTAGTGTGGCTCAGATGAAGGTGAAGGCAAATGTTTCTGAGAATTCTGTGCAAACTTTTATTATCCTTAAGAACTGATGGTTACTTAGAAAAGGATCATTCTCGTAGTTCTGAGTTTGAAAACAGCATATTGTAGCTTTCACTCTTGTCCTCTCATGTCCACACAGCATGTGGCAGTAATAGCAGAGATGGGAGAACAGAGAAACCTGGAAGTAGGAGGGAGCCCAAAGCTGTGCCATTAGCATTACCAGTGAGGGTCTTTTATAGGGGATACCAAAATGGGTGAGACTCTGTGACCTTCATCCTTCAGAGCACTGAAGACAAAGTACTAGGTTCTGATTTTAACTTTAGCACATGTTGGATTTTTAATGTGGCTGAAAGCTTGCATGCTCACTCTCTGTTTCCCCCTTAGGGTATGCTTAAAAGAAGATTTGAGATCAGTCACGTCAAAGCTCTTATTATCACACGGGCATTGATCAGTGTAATTTCTCGTTTCCATAAAGAGAAAGTAAAAACTACATACACTGAAACTATTTAAATATTTGTATCACATATACTTTTTATGTACAGACCAATACAAAATGTAAAGGCCTGTGAAAGACGCATTCCTCACTGAATTACGGCACGTAGGGACCCCAAGGACAGAAGTTTACACTTTATTGAAGCAAACGCTTGAGAAGTTCTTCAGCTGCACAGATATACAAAGATAGTAATTAGCTTTCTCTCTGATGAGGAGTGGAAGAAGAAAAAAGATTTCTAATGGTGACCATCATTTGGTAAGAGGAAGAGGCAATGGAGCCAAAATAGTGTAGCATTTCATATGCTCCCATTAATTTGCTTATATATCTCCAGCTACAGAAACTGTGCCTCGAACATATAATATACATACAGAATCCAGTATCACATCCTCTTACCCCATTCTATGAGGTGTTCATAGTTTTTCATCATCCTGCAGATTTTACAGCTGTTACTGAAAGGAGAATAATCTATTGCTGCTTTGTGTCTTGAACATTATAAGTGCCTACACTCTGTAGTGACCTTGTCAGACAACAGATGAAGAAAGAAGGGTAATGTAGTTGTTAAACATGTAGTTTTTTCCATCCTGCTTTATGGTATTTTAAATCGTAAGCTGTAGCATTTAATAAACCAAACAAACAGGCTTCCAAATTGACAGGAGGGATAAATAGTAGAAGAACCAGAATTACATCTGTTAGGATACTTTATTCTCTTTTTAGCTGTCATCTGCAAGGAATGTTCCCAGGACAATAAGCTCAGAATCCAGTTGGGAAAATGAAAATTGTTTTCCATTTCTATCATCAGAAAGCTGAAGGCAGAGCAAAGTAGTTAACTTGTGTTACCACAATGACAGATGTCTATATCACACCCCCCACACTTTATACCCCCAGACTGTTTGCTAAGTGTTTGCATTCAAGGAGTTTAAGACTTTTGAATAGGCATGTGACTATACAAGCAGTGTGAACATTCATGACCGCTGATTTCTCTGTAGCTGCGTGTCCACTTTCCTTCAGATTGTCCGCTCTCCTCATTAGTTATAGTCAAGAGAGATGTATTCAAAGTTCAGGAGTAATTTCCCAATTTTAAATACTGTTTTTAGGTCAGATTCTAGTTATTTCCATCAGGTATTTCAAGCAAACAGAGAGTTCTGTCTGAGCGTCCACTTCTGAACCACTGAGGAGCTGAAGTGTTTTCTGGTCCCTTGGGATAAGAGCTTCTTAGTTCTGAAATACAGTGCTACTCTTTGGCTTCTCCAAGGATTAAACCTTTTTTTTCTGCTAAGTCAAAAGGAGTTTTTCTATTGTTTTGAATTATTATAGGAATTTTTCTCATCAAGTAGTAGCATCCATAGGAGGCACTGTTTCTCTGAGCAGTCCCATAGCAGGGACACAGTTTCCGGGGCTATGCTGTTGGTAAGCAGGGATTATGAGGATTCCTCCTGGCACTGGCATGGAACATCCCAGAAAAGAAATTGGAGTTGTTGCCTAAGGATTTACCAATCCTGCATCACTGCTTATGTCTCCGAAGTAATCTTGCTCTGTCACATAGCACTTCTGATGTCTGCTCAGTGGTATGGCATTCATTACTTCAGTCTCTGGTTTCTGTCTGTGCTTTCTATCACCTTTGCAAGATTTCATGAACTATTAGTGAGAAAAACATAAAGGACAGAGAGGCAACCGATCACTGCTGGCTCCAGAATAAGGCACGGTCCCTGAGATGTTTGTGTGTAAAATCAGCAGCTCTTCTAAAAATCATTGCTTGCATATACAATACAGGAGCTGGTGAACTACGCAAAATGTATGGATTTTGTCAGCTATCTTGTTTAGGTACAGCTTTGAACGTTATATGTGGGATGATTCATAAGCATCTAGTTGTTTTTATGTCCTGACCGGCCTCAATTGCTGCTGCAGAAGTGCTCACATCTGTAAGTTTAGTATACCTGCCAGACCAACAAAGATGCCTTGGACAACCTGGGGCATTTGAATGGCACAGATCCCTAATTCAGATGTGTCCTGATCATTCCCAAGATGTCTGCCTAACTGGGAAAATGGAATACATTTGAAGTTCAAAGCTTGTATCTTCTGAACAGGATAAAAGGGTTTCCTTTGTCTTAGTTAAATGGATCATTAGAAGAACAAGCAGTCCTTCATGTTTTTACACATGAAAGAAGGCCCAGAAAGTCACAAGCTCTCACATGCAACTGAAAACTGTAAGTATATCGTGTGTCTAGAATTCATATGCAAGCTGTGGATTTAAGAGTGTCAGTCTTTATGTCACCTGACTGCCTTCATTCAGTGAAAGGCATTGTGGTGCTTTGATTAAGAATTCATTAGATTTCAGTAGTATCAAAGACTGTCTTCATCTAAATGTGAGTAGGCTGTTGTGAGAACTTTGCCATTGTGTGAGAAGAATGTACTGTTTGTGTGATCTGCAAGTTTCATTTCTACATCTACAAATCTCTTTCCAGACATGATTTAATATGGTTCATGCCATGTAACTCAAACAATTCCATGAAAAAAGTGGAACTAAATAAAATGGAAATGATCTGAAACCTTCATCATTATTCTAAAAGCACATAATCTTGTCATGTAACTGACAACAATAAGGTGATGTCAGTTTCCTCAATCTAAGTCCTGGAATCATTTAGTGTCACACCTATTTGTGTAATGGTAAAGAAAAATTACACATTCTAAAAGGCAAAGTAAAAAATAAAAACCCAAAGGATTAACAAGAAACTTTTATGATTTTGGGGGGCTGCCTCATGAATGTTGAATGCTTGTCATTAACGATACATAAATAAAATACTGGGCTTTAGATTCTCTGGTTCTCCAGGTCTTTATGGCTGTTAAATCACAGCATACTCTGTCTTTTGTCCCACTGGACTCCACTGGTAACCTCATTTTTTTTGCAGCAGCTTCAGGCTGAATATACAGTAGCAAAGCTGCTCTGTCAGTAATCCCACACACCTCTCCTGCTCTGTACTCCATTAATCTCTTTGAAGCAACAGGAACCCCCTGTTCCACTCATCTACACTTTCTCTAACACCTCCCCCTTTGGGGTCCCAGTCCGTGCTGCTTTTCTTCCTCCAGCCTGGATGGTTTGGGAATGTTCCACCTCAGCTGTCCTTGT